TATATATATATATATATATATATAATCCTGAGGACTGTCACTCATGAACTTCAGGAGTAAAGCAGATACGGATTTTTGCTCATTCTTACAATCCGGGTCTTTCTGCTTTTCAAAATGGGGAAATACAAACACCCATTGCACTGTCTCTGGTGGGTCATTCCTCTAGACCCCCAATACATCTCCCCCCCCCCCTCTTTCTTCCAGAGATTTCCTCACAAATGGGTTTTGTACAATAACAAAATCTCTTTGCCTTATGTACTCTATTGATGAGAAGAGGGCTTTCATCGTTATGCTGCCTATTATACACACATTATGTCTATTATGGAAGGCACTTCAACTGGATGTTTTCTGCCCAGATAGACTGCACTTGACATAATCCTATGTATACCGAGGGGCTTCCCCTGGATGTTTTTGCCTAGGTGAACCTCACTTGGCTGTCTTGTTCTCAAACCAAAGTGCTTCCCCTGAATGTTTTTAGTATGACAGACTACACTTGTGGATTTGACAAACTTATGCAAGGTGTTTTGATGTTGTTTTTGTCCTTGGTCCGCACTTGGCATAATGCATTGTATTCCAAGGTGCTTCCCCTAGGCAGACACACTTGACCTATTCATATATGGTCCTCTAGCCCTAGCCACATATTTGTTTTCATTTCTGCCCTATGTGTATAATCTTCTTTATTGGGTGAAGAGCATACCTCTTCCAGAAGTAGTGCTATACCCCACAGGTGTGCCTCGTATTTTAATGTGGGATTCTAGCTATGGGGGAGAAGAGGTAGTACCATTTCAGAAATGAACATTTTCCCACTGATTTGCTGATGTTTTCAGGTTTTTATATGCCAATTCTCGAAAGTGAGGATTGTGCTGCAATGGTAGAGGGAGCTACCTGCACTAATACACAGGGTGCAATGGGATTTGTGGAGGGTGGTCACATGATCAGCACATGTTACTGCAATGATGCAAAAAGTATAGGGGTATATAAGACTGGTGCACTGTTCATAAGATTTAGCAATGCCTATAAGACAAATGAAGGCCAAGATACCTATGGGTGAAGGGAAGTAAGTACCCATCAGAAATACATTTTCAGTGTTAGAAAATGTTAACTTTTCACTTTTAGGTGAGAAGTCATTTCTGTCTCAAAAAGCTGTACAATCATCTTGAATACTATGATAGAGCAGCTATACACAATCTTTTTACTTCTCCCATAAGTAGAAGTTTCTGCAACAATCAACCATAGGTGATTGGTTAGATGAATCTATGATATGCAAGCATATCATATGTTTTCTACCTGCTTTAGTCATGTAGAAATTTTTAAAGTTTTTGATTATTTAGTTTCCATGCTGAAATGATGACAATACATTATCCAAAAAGTAGATAAAATTACCATGTTATAGTTGTTTCATTTCTCTATAGTAGACAGTCTTTTCTGCTTGAGTGGATGTTGCAGTAATATATAGCATTTGGTTTAAAAAGATTGGCACTGTAAAATCCTTGTTGACCAAGTATGATATTGACTTAGTGTAACAGCTAAGCATTGCTATGAAAGAACATAAGTTCACGAGGTGACACTGTTGACTAGACTAAGAAAGCAAGTGAAAAACCTACATTTAAGATCATTGTGTTTGGTTGTACAGAAGTTTATTGTGAGAGAGAGAAAAAGAGTTGAGGGATGAGCACAGCCTAATAGAAGTGACTTTCTTTTTATTTGTGCAAGTACATATGCTGCATTTGCTTTGTGTTTGTTAAATAATAAAAATCATTTTTATTTTTATCAACTTTATTGAGTTTCATTATTTTACACAAACTAGGAACACTCAGTTCTGAAATTACTTGGATTATCAGATTTCTTTTATGATACTAACTTTTCTTTGATTTTGTGTTTTAGAATATCATGATAGAGCACATGTTAATCTATTAATTACTTCCCTAAAAGAAATAATTGTATTGTATCTTTAATCATGTAATAATGTTTCTTATTAACTGATAATAATTTGGACTGGTTATATGTGAAAAATATGTTGTTTTTTTTATGGTTTTAGGTGGAAAGTTTTAAAATGAACCAATGTCCTAAACATGCTTTACATAGCAAATTTAGCCTTCACACTGGACAAACAGTTGTATCTGATGATGAATATGGACATTTACAAGTAAGTCCTGGTAGACTGTTGAGTTCTATGAAGTATTGCCTGAATGTACCATTTCAAACAATACATATACACACTTTAACATCCTATGTGTAGCAAATCTGGGCAAATTAAGAATGAACTATGAAGTTTTAAAAATTGTTAAGTATTATTTTGTTTCTCCTTCTTCTCTTTAATCTTAATGTCTGTATACATACGTTATGTAAAAATGATATTAATCCTTTTAGTCAACTTTTACAGACTTGAACGCACACTTTTAGGTTTTTATTACTGGCCATTGTAGTAAAGAAATCTAGTAATGATGAAATATTGTATGATAATGTTTTTGAACAAAACAATTTTTGACATGTATCTAGATGTAATATTAAACTGCCAGGTGTGATCTTGTGGTTAGTGTGTGTGGGCTGTGAATGTGAAGGTTCGTGGTTTATATGCTGTTACCATAAAAATGTACTCCACACTTTGGGGCCATGATGTGCTACAATAAACAGTCAAATACCCATATTTATTCAAATGAGTAACCCATTATTAGGTGATGGATGAAAAACTGGTCTGTCTGTTCAAAATTAGGGATGGCTATGAGCAGTTAGCCTTGTGTAGCTTTGTGCAGAATTTATAACTACTACTACTTATGAGTGCTATACTTAATTATAACCATCTGAATCAAGTCAGGAAATTTGTTTTCTGCCCCAAAACACACTTTTTACCTGTCCCAATTTTTTGTGATTTTTAGTGTTTTATGGAGGAGCTATGACTATTGTTTTTATCTCAGTGATCTTTTGGGTTATTTCAACTGAACTAATAGTACTGTGAGTATGATATAAGAAGTGAGACTGTTTTAGAAGTTTTTCTGTGTAAATTTGTTTGTTTTCTTCTTATGACTTGGAATAAAAGGAACTTTATATTCTGTTTAATCAGTCTTAAACCTTCCAAGCAGTGTGCTGTTGCTAGTGGTAAGGCAAATATAATTTTAGTTTGTATCTACAGAAATTTTGAATACAATTCTAAAAAGGTTATAATTTCATTGTATAGGTCACTGGTTAGGCCACAATTGAAGTACTGTGTTCAGTTTTGGGCTCCTTATCTTAGGAAGAACTTTGAATTTTTGGAGAGGGTTCAAAGGAATGGTTATTAGAATGGTACCTGTGATGGGAGGATTGTCATAAGAAGATACATTAAGATATGAAATTGTTTTCTCTTGAGTAAAAAAAGTTACAGGGGATCTGATTGAGTTATTTAAGATTGTCAAGGGAATTACTTGTGTTGATGCATCATCATTTTTCATACTTGATGGTGAGAATGGTTAGGAATACATGAAACAAATTAAGTTTTGGTAGGGTAGGATTCATCTTCAGCTAACTCAGTTTTATTTTTCTGACAGAATAGTTGGCCTTTTGAATGTGTTGCCTTCAGATGAGATGGAAGCATTAAATTTAT